TTGTCTCTATAGGATGTATAGTTATTACAAACATGACAACTTGTTGTCTTCTCATCTTGTCTCTATAGGATGTATAGTTATTACAAACATGACAACTTGTTGTCTTCTCATCTTGTCTCTATAGGATGTATAGTTATTACAAACATGACAACTTGTTGCCTTCTCATCTTGTCTCTATAGGATGTATAGTTATTACAAACATGACAACTTGTCTTCTCATCTTGTCTCTATAGGATGTATAGTTATTACAAACATGACAACTTGTTGTCTTCTCATCTTGTCTCTATGGGATGTATAGTTATTACAAACATGACAACTTGTTGTCTTCTCATCTTGTCTCTATAGGATGTATAGTTATTACAAACATGACAACTTGTTGTCTTCTCATCTTGTCTCTATAGGATGTATAGTTATTACAAACATGACAACTTGTTGCCTTCTCATAGGCTCCCCAATCATCCTTTGTCATACACATGGATTTCGTTCGCGATAGATATCCCCTAAATATTCTCTCTTCATTTTGTAGATATTCTGGTAGATTTTCTGTAAGCATATGTTTTTCCATCATACCTAACAACTGCATATCCAAATCATCAAACCTTGAGTTGTTGAGTTTTATATCTGCATTCAGTACTGTGTTCAGGATTTTCAATCTGCATTTTAAGAGCGTCAAAGTCAGTGTAATTAATGTATGGTACTGGCATTTGATTACGATACTGATCAATTTTAATATATTTTTATCCTCTTTCGGCATATCAATGCTTATAATAGTCTGCCTAACGTCTCTACAGTCTTGTTTGTGTGATTCTGAAAGATCTTGTCAACAGTACCAATGCAGACTTCTTTCACAGAAATATTTTTCCTTATGAGTTGTTTGGTTACATAATAGTCTATTTGAACTCTTTATCCATGTATGATGATAATTACCATCTTTTCAACCAGAAATAAATTATTCTGGGAATATTTTCTGGGGCAGAGCGTATGTGGTGTACAACAGCTCTTTTAGAATGTCCAAAAACAATTATTATTATTATTTTTTTGCTTTTCTTCCTTATTAATTTGTGAGATTGGTGTAGGTGCATCTATGCCTTCAAAGTTGAGTCCACCATTTCCGGGATAGGGCAAAGGTCTATCTAGACGGTTTTTTAGAATCCACTGGAAATAAGGCAGACTTAATGCCAATCTTAAAAAGTTATCATCATTATGTTTAACGTTAATTGTGGCTTGCTTTTTCTTATAATATCCTCTTAGGCCATCCTGTTTTGCCAAAGCTTTCAGTTCTCTGACAATTGTCATTGTACATTATAATTATATGCAAAGTCAATCTCAAAATGTTTTTTCTTAAAGTATGATAATACACAACTAGTCAAAACACTTTACGCGTCTAAATATTAATTCTACCCAATAAATTTCGCTCCTGGAGGTACTACCTTTCCTTGCATAAACAATCTGATTTCGTATTTTATCATCTCCATCAGCTTTACATAAACAATACCTTCCTTTGACTCCAATTCCGCATACAGATCATGTCTGGTTTTCGTATTGCCATGAGAGAGAGAGAGAGAGATTCTTTATTTCCTCCAGATGCGATTCCGAAGATTACAATGAATATATATTCAATTACACGCAGTTAACACAATAAAAAAAAGGCACAACATATTTACAATTACACACAGTTTATCAAATTCAGATACCTAAATGATGACAGATTTTCACTAGAAGATATATATCAGAAGATGCTTAGTTTGTACAGATACGAGGAGAACTGAAGTATAATAGTTTCCCAGGTGTGTTGATCCAGATTGTGAGTAAATTTTGTTTCAGCCCCAAATAAGACTGATAACATATCTGTTTCATCTTGCATTTCAAAATCAACATATTTTTGAACGTCAAGTACGTCAATGAGAGAAGAGAAAAACGCATTTCTTTCTGATATCAGCGCTTCACAATGTAAAATAACGTGGCTGTCATAGTCAAAAGCATGCCTATTACAGAGCATGCACTCTTTCGAAAGTTTACTACGTGATGAGACTTTCACACAGAGTTGTAAAGCAGGTCGATATTCCGGGTACAGAAAAGCTAATTGCCAAAGTACATGGTATGTTAATTTCGTATGAATTCTCTTATAACGCAAGCCACAGGTTTTCCCATCAGCACAGACTTGATGATTTTTCCCAATTTTCATTGTTGTACACTATGTGAACATTTATCTCAATGCGTGTTGAGATCTCATAGCCGAGTAGCGCAGTTGCTGTCTAGCCTAGTACAATGAATGTTATCTCGCGACTTTCTTACCCTCTGACGGTGTATAAAACGGAGAGAGCATTGGCTTGAGGCCCACTGGATCCTGTTGCTTTCCGTAAATTAGATTGTATCATGCATGTCAGTTTCAACATCATTAAAAGTTTGAATTGAATGATTTTGTAGACTATGACAGCTTATAAGTAAAACTTTCTGCAAAGACCACTTTGGTTCTTCACACAGTGAACACTGAATTGGTGCAATAGCATCTCCCATAGATAAAGATAATTTGAAAGACATACCAAAACATGCTGAAGAGGCTTCAGATGGGCTTGAAGACCTCTTGGCTACCTATGATGATTCTTCATCCCAGACATCTTTGCAGTACAGTATTAGAGAATTACGAAGTCTTGACAAGGCAATGCAAACAATGCGGGGATCACTCCTCAATAATAATGCTAAGCTAGATGAACTTGACAAGGATATAGCTTCTGAGAAAATATAACTTACATAGGCAGAAGATAATTTTAGTAGTCATATTGCACAAAGATTGCATAGCTTGGAAGACGAAAGATAAGCCCACTTGAAAGCAGCTTCCACTAATAGAGAAGCACTTCGGTCACAAATCAGTCGAATTCCGGTAACTATTGGTCAAGTTCTCAATAGTGATACTGCCCTGGCTGAAAGAATTAAAATATTGTTCAGAGAACAGGGGATTACCATTACCAGTATTTTAACTGCTTTGGGATTTATTATATCAACTTTGGTTCCTGCTGTTACAGGTGGTGGTAGTTCAGCCCCAACACTGCCTTGTGATTGGGATGGCACAAAGGAGTGGATAAAAAAGCATATAAAGTCATTTGGAGAAGCTCTTGGAACAGATATATATATATATATAATAAAATAATAGTCCACGTTAGTCCATCATCTTCATTATATCAGTTTCATACATAGTACAGTTTCATACATACACACTGAAGAGCTGTCATGAGACATCGAAAGTACTATGTATGAAACTGATATAAAGAAGATGATGGACTAACGTGGACTTTATTATTTTATTATATATTGCATGTACACCGAGTGAACATTTACCTCATTTTTGTATATATATATATATATATATATATATATATATATATATATATATATATATGCAGACACACATCATGTTCCCCGAACTGATCCCAACTCCCGCTAATCAATTGATGTGACAGGGGAATAATGCAGTGACTTTGTGAGTTGTGTTTCAAACCGATTAGACTGTATTTCACTCATATCAGGGCGTGTCAGTTTGACGTGGGAGGAAATCCCCAAGTGATGCAGGTCTTAGGGGTTCAACATTTTGGTGAAACCCACGTGTACGGTATGGTGCTCAGACCATAAAAGCTGGGGTTCGAACCTTCGGCCAAACGTTTTTGGCATCCTTAATATACTGATTGTAAATATTAGGCAACATGTTAATCAGTGTTGGCAAACAAACTGGGATATACAAACCACTAACAAGCTGCACAATATTCAGGCTAACATGACTTAGTGAGTGAGTTGGGTTTTTCGCCACTTTTGGCGATATTCCAGCAACACCATAAATTGGACACCAGAAACGGGCTTCACACTTTGAACCCACGTGGGGAATCGAACCCGGGTCTTCGGCATGACGAGCAACCGCTTTAACCACTAGGCTACCCAAGGCGACGAATATAAACAATAACAATATCGGTGTCACCTGTCGTAGAGATGATTTTACGATTAATATATTTTCAATAAAATATGCAACCCATATCATGTTAACAAACACCTGGCCACCGGACAAAAAGCAATATTAACTTGCGTATGATGCATTGAATTGGGGAACTCTTTGGGTGTAGGATAGTCGCTGTAACACATCATCTCCTTGCTTGTGTTGATGACAGTCGACCTCATCACACGCCCCTGATCCTCGCGGATTTGTTCTGTAAAATTACATAATCCCCCGACCCAATCTCGTCATTTCGCTCAAAATAAAATTTCTAGAACTTTTCGTCTACAAAACATTTGACGGCAACGAAACCACAAACCCGGCTCCAATGATCGCCACCCGCTTAGCGGGTCAAGGGCATAGGTATGGCTGGTACTTGGACCACATTCAACAGTGTCTGCTTGTGATCCGACTGTGCATGTCCGATTTTAATTACTAAAGCTGTCTGCATAATCTCTGTGTGTTGGTGCATAGTGCATCTTGTATTTAACATATTGAGGACACTGCAGATCCGTAGTTAATATGTGCAGCCTCGTGCTAACCACGAACCAAGGCACAACGCGGTCAATATTTTTTGCACATGCTCGGGTGACATTATGGTGTTTTTAAGTTATGAAATACTGTATTTATCTGACAATATAAACTCGTTATCTCACTCGAGAAAAATAACACTTAATGCTGGCACTGCTTCACTCAGAAACGCCTCACCCACAACTTGTTTTGTATAGTTTCCTGAAAACAAGGCTTAGGGCCCTTCTTGGAGACCCTAAAAAACTGACTTCCCCAAGCTTGATTTTTCTTGAGTTTTGATTACAAAACCACGAAGAATGACTTGGGTTTTTTTATAACAAATTCCCAGGTTAATTAATTATGACGTCAATCCCAACTGTACTGCAGAGGAGTCGTCGCGTAATTGTCAAGTGCGGGATTGAATACACTCACATGAAATCGAAAAATAAATTAATTAAATAAACAGACCAACCGATTGCATAAAGGCGCATTGACAAAGATAAACCAACCGGTAGCTGAAAGATTTATTAATACTAGGCAATAACAACACAGCGCGAGTTCCACTAACAGGCGAATATACATAAATCAACAACACTGACAGTAATTTGTCAGTTTTAATACACAGCTGACGCGATCTAAATACACGTACAGAGCGTTTTTTTCGATTCTGCACAGGTATAGGTTTCTGCGGCGACATTCTAAACAGATTAACAGACACCGGATCAAGCCACCTGTTGTGTGACCAGCTTCTGTATCCAAAGCTAGACAGCCTCCCCCACCTTTGAACTCCCATCGGTAGTGGTTCGATTTGAGAAAATACGAATTTAAACATGGATCAAAATTTTGTTTGGCGTACATTTCCTTTTCAGATTTTCCTTTAAAATATCACAGTGGAAATCTGAAGCAACTTGGATAAAATATGAAAATTGTGTTGTTGTTCCCATCGTGACATAGTCATTTGAATCACAGTACATACAACACTAGTCCTCTATTGACTTGAAACACACAACAATTTTGTCTTACTGAGTAAACATAATGATAACGCCATGTTGTTACTATTGATTCTGAGCCAGGAATTCACTGGCCGTTGTGAACGTGCATTTTAACAAGTACAACTGACGCAACTCTAGGCCATTTTGCAAAAAAAGAAATGTTTCAACCATCTGGGAAGTCAACAAGTCTGAGAAATCACTCGAAGTTGTTGATTGCGCTGTGCAGAGTTAAGTCCCTTGAACACGGCAGCAACCTATGATCGTGGGTTCGAATCCCGTTTCGCCTCTATTGTTTCTCGTTCTGTCAGCACGACACCCGTGGTCGTGGGTTTCAACACAGTGGTAAATGTCTGAGAGCTACATCACTTAGGACTTTCCTTCAACATTAAGCTGACACGCCGTCATATAACTAGAATACTGTTCAAAGCGGCGTTAAACCAAACAACATATTCGAGTGATATCTCATTCAGAATGAGGTACTCCAGTGGTTGAACTCCATTGACTTACTTTCCCATCGAATGTTTGACAAGTTTAATAGTTTTATTTTGGCACTGATTTCTTCTACAACGACTGCTTTTACCCTCACGATTCCCGAACTTGTAGCTACCCAAAAAGTTAGACGGGCAAGCTACAAAGACATACAGGCATATAAATGCACACAGCACATGCAAAAGTGTGTAAATATAATGTAAAAGTTACTGGTAAATTCAGCAGCATGTTCGTGTATAAAAGGCCGAAGAAACGGTAGTAATGATATTTCCCTGATCTTGATTTCCCAAGTGTAAATATTTGGATGTAAGACTACACACAGCCACTAAACAGCGCTCTACAAACTCCTGACATCGCTTTTAAAAAGTTGGTAAAGGATGGCAATGACCAGCACCAGCAACACCAGTGTGAGGAGTCTGTGGGACGACTGTGTCTCTGTGCCTTCAGGGAGAGGTCTGGTCTTAAAGGGGTACTCCATTCTATCTGTCTGGGTCATGATGGCCTCCCGGGCCCCCGGCCACGTGCCCGGCCCCCTCAGGCGGTATTGGTAGGGGGTGGCGGGGCCGAAGTAGCACTTGAGTCCAAGTTTCGGGTCGGTCAAGAGAAGACGACCTAGAATAGAATTGTTGGATGTATGGAAATCCGAGATGGTGTTCTCTTTCTAATGAAACTCTCATCAACTAACAAGGTCATATTCAAGGTCATTTAAGTAAATTGAAACATTATTTCATTGTTGTCGGATTGTTTGTTGTTTAATGCCACACTCAGCAATATTCCAGCTATATGACGGCGGTCTGTAAATAATCGAATCTGCACCAGACAATCCAGTGATAGATATCATGAGCATCGATCCACGTGAGATCGATCACATGCATCAACCAAGTCAGCGAGCCTGACCACCCGATCCCGTTAGTCGCCTCTTTCGACAAGCATGGGTTGCTGAAGACCTATTCTACCCCGGATCATCACGGGTCTGGATCGATCCTTATGGTTTGTCTGGTCCAGACTCGGTTATTTAAAGGTTGCTGTGAAATAGAAGGAATAATGCCGATGCGACGTTAAAAAAATCCAAAACAATCAAATCTGTCAGTTGTTTTAGTTGGTATAATTCCTTATCTTCGTATTCATGGCATTTGAATCTTAGGAATGTGTGTCAAATATGGATTTCTTCCAGCGATGGTCGATTAGGGCGAGATGGATTGTTAAGGTCAGGTCAGGTCAGGTCAGGTCAGGTCAGGTCAGGTCAGGCACAGCACGGCACGGCACGGCACGGCACGACACGACACGGGCACAATTAGGAGATAAACCTAATGCGTTTTAAAATTTGATATTGTCCCACTGTAGAGTTGAGATAGGTTTATCTCCATTCTACCATGACGGCACCAACGGTTTGAAAACGGTGCTCTCTTGCAACGTGTAACAACACAGTAACGCAGGTCCGCAATCTTAGAATATTCCGAGAAGTGGTCACAGGTAGTTATATATGTAAGAATTATTACTAAAGTTCAAGATTAAAAACACCATAGTCTTAAGTAGTTCAAAATAAGTGTTTAAAACACATAGTTTTTAAAAAAAAGTTGACCCAAAAAAAACACTCAAAACTTAGTCCAAAGACAAATGTGTTAATTTCTACCACCCCGTTCTGCACTGGCGATGTCTTTTATGCGAGAGAGGTCATTTCTTGGAAATCGAACATGCCATTTCCATCGTTGGGGTGACAGGTTGAACAAAAAGGTCTTAAAATGCTAAACGTATATATTTCTACAACAAACTTAATGAATTAACATTATATTATACATTTAACATGTTTAAGTGTTATTAGTTAGTTAGCAATTACCCCCAGTAAACAATAATAACATCAAAATACATGTCTCTCCACCCCGAACTTGGATGTGGCAGAACTTGACCTACATCACAGTTACTCACACCTCACAGCTGTCAATGGCTGACAATCTTGTTTACATTCTCTGTAACTAGTTAAATGAAGCAAGATGACAACCCCGATCTATGATGTGGTTCAGCATTAACGCTTTTTAGCCTTCAGACGAGCCGGACATTTTGACACGAGGTAGGGCCTATTTGCATGGTGTGACCTGTCAATTTCAAGATTTCATGAATTCCAACCCAGAATGTAAATTAAATGAGACATTCGTGGCCCAGACAAAGTGGGTCGTGTATGATTTTCTGAATTGTGCGTGTTCTAAAATGAATTTGATCAAGTTTGACTTCAATGATGTCGGGACATTGGTTTCGTGGCTTTTCGAATGGACGAGTATTTTCTGACTGATGGACTTTCAAATCATCTTCTGCTAAAGCCTTACGGAGATGGCAACGAATATCAATCCTATGAAGGTTTGTGAACAACATGTTGCCATGAATAAAGTTTTGCAAAAAAAATAATTTAATATAATGTTCTATTTTACTTTAATTGTTGGTTGTTTCAATGAGGAAATAGCTTAAATTGCTCCGATTCTGGTCACCATAGAACATTTTCCTAATAGTTTCATAAACATTTCTTTTGTTTGCAAAAGACATGCCTTCGTAAATCTTTTAATGTCATCATCGAAGCAGTCAGGGTTGCGGGATAGAACGCCCAAAACATCCGATATCAAACCACGTGCACCGAATTTCCTCTATTTGACGCTATGTCGTCTATTAATTTCGCGAGAGTACTTGACTCGGCGTGTATCAGAGACCTGGCTGGTGTTAGAGACCAAGCGTGTATAAGAGTAAATATTAGATAGTTTTACAGTTCATATTGGGGTGTTCGATCGGCGGAACATTTTTTATGAATCGATATGCAGGCTATCTATGTATTCATACGCACGTCTCTTGTAAAAAGGCTTAATATATTTAAAAGCGGTTTCCGTAGCAAACGTCTTTTTGACCAATCAGAATCAAGCATTCATCAATGTCATGGTAGAAATAGGACATAAACCTACTGTGTTTTGAAATTTGATGTAGTCCCACTGTCGAGTAGATACCTCTTTATTTTAATTTTGATCCGAGCGCTTTACTCCTGAACTCGCCAACTTACTCACTTCACCCGACATCCCAGGTAAGGTGTTGTACTAGGAAGAAACAACATCACTAACCTATTTATAAGATAATGGAGTGGGGGGGACTTGGGTTTGATTCCTTACAAATGTACAATGTATGAAGCCAATTTTCTTGTGCCCCCTGCCGAGATATTGCTGGAATATTGCTAAATGCGGCGTAAAAATACCATACTTGCTCAGCTACATATATAACAACTGAAGTGTGGTTCTAAAGGGAGATAACCCAGTCCTCACCTATAGCTGGTCGACATCCTACAAGTTCCGCCAGTTCGTCCATGAAGTCGACGTAGTCGACCTGGATTGTGTGTCGCTGGGACTCGACATATTTCGCCGCCATAGCCGCCTCCTTCTTTCCAATGTCCGCCCACATCTCGTATTTTGACGGGAGACTGCAAGTGCCCTTGTGGACGGGGAACAGGACATATGGAATACCATGGAATACACAATCATTAAAACCCCGGATATACATTTTGGGGTAAAAAACATGTTGCAAATGTCTTAGTTTTCTTAACAATGAAACACTACAATACGGGACAAAAATCAGGTTTGTCCAGATAATTTATGAGTGACGCATTTTCCCACATAATTTTTTTTCCAATAATTCATTTTTTTTCTTACTTTGAATACTCTGGTTGCTAGGCGACACTGCAATTCCACAATAGGCATAATGGCGCCGATGGGTTGAAAACAACCAATCACCACCAATGTCTGTTTCGGCAGGTCAGGTGGAAACATATACTTGAACATCTTGACCTTATTCTTCTGCACATCGATCACAGACTTGTCAATAAACGGGAAGCCGAATATATACCCTGTAGCCAATATGACAACGTCTATATTATCTTCCACCGTCCCGTCAACAAACTCCACGCCAGTCTTGGTAAACCTCTTGATGTCAGCCTTAATCTTCAATCGGCCAGTCGCGATTCTATTGGGCATGTCATCGTTTACTGTAGGATGTTGGGCGAACACCGAGTGTTTAGGCTTCAAGGAGTATAACTCGTGGTCGAAACGTTTATTTAGTTGTTTTTGAAGTATACCACTCAGTGTTTCTTGGGGCAAGGTGTGTAGAATCTTTCTTAAAAAACGTGATGCTAGTTGGAAATCGGCAGGGATACCATTGTCAGCAATTCTGTTGAACACCCAGGTACCGCGCCTCGTGCTAAGAAACACCTGGGGAAACAAGAATCTGGTCATCATGCATTGTAGAAACTCATATATGGGATCAAATATGTTTTAACGACTGTACCTTTACATATTTTGGAGACAACATATTGAATCAATATCAATCTCTCACCTGCCCCACCCTGCTCAGCTCCACAGCTGCGTCCCCGCCTGAGTTGCCGACCCCGACAACCACCACCCTCTTCCCAGTGTACCCGGTCCAGTCCTTGTAGTCCTGAGAGTGAAGGATCTTCCCCTGGAAGTCATCTTGACCTGTAAATTCCGGCACGTTCTTGCTGGCGTGATGACCGGTGCACACCATCACCGCGTCAAACACCTGCGTCTCCTCACTTCCGGTCTTGTGATCTCTGACCTGCAGATCCCATCTTCCGGTCTGCTCGTAGTCACGTGACTTCTTCACGGACAGGATCTCTTTGTTGTATTGGATGTGTTTGCTCAGGTTGAAGGCATCTGCGTACATCTTGAAGTACTGCCATACCTGGAGTCAGAAAACTTGACAATAGAGTCATGTAGTTCTGTCAATCACCTGAATAGTTTTCTTTCAGGTTTTGTTTTAGTTTGTAGCAAACTGAACTACAATTCCCAAGATAACTTCTCTTTTATACACAAACCTATTGCAATGTTTTAACTCTGACTTTGCCAATGGATTCAAGTGGGGCTTAACGTCGCGTTCAAGATAATTGCTCATATGTAGAGTCGTGCGTGTGTGTGTCTGTGTGTCAAATTCTATTAGTGCGGACTAAAGGTGGTTTTGTAGTGTTATCCAACTTAGATAGCATGCCGCACCTTAACATGGATACATTGTACTGATTCCGATCTGACTAGTCTCTTCTTTGTCTCCTTAATGCCGAGCGCTAGGCAGGGTAACAACAAGTACCATATTTTAACGTATTTTGGAATGACGTATTTTGGGATCGATTCCCCGAGCCTCTGCTCTCTGGTCGAACGCTCTATCCGCCAGAATACTTTTCATTTTGAAATGCGCTGCTGTGGTGATAATTTTGAATTTATTCTGAAATAATTCAGAAAATAAAAAGCTTACTTTGTTGTGTCTTACGACATGTAGTACATATTAGTATAACGTTAATCATATATTGACATATTTTCAGTAGCAGTGGAGAATTTTTAGTTTCAGGACGGGCTAGCCATGGACAATGGCCATTATCATAAACTCACTTTGCTCTGAACTGAAATGTACTTTAACTTAAACTCAGGGCGCGATCAGCGACATTTGAGGCACATAATGACATATGCATATACATGTACATATAAATATAAAATAAAAACAACATCTGGCGAATGATGCATGTATAGTTATACACATTCACTAAGTAACAGTACCTGTATTCAATAAGGAGAGAGACCGCCTCCGTGGTCTAGTGGTAGAGCGTCCACCCTGAGAGCGTCATAACAAAAGACGTTATAATATGGTACTTGTTGTTACCCTGTCTGGCGCTCGGCATTAAGGAGCTAAAACAAGGACTGGTCCGCCCGGAGTCAGTATTCTGTGTCTGAGTAGGGTATTCATATTAAACTGCGGCATGGCATCTTAGTGAGCTAGCACTATAAATCGGCATCAGTCCGGACTAGTACAAGCACACACACACAGACACACACAGACACACACACACACGTGCATGCACGTCGCTATATAAGTGCAATAACCTTGGACGCGACGTTAAACCCAATTTCACCTCACCTCACCTCAATAGGGAGAGATATATGTTGACTACAGGAACATGCTGTGTTTACAGTGTCTAACATATAAATACTGGTTAAATGTTGATAGAAATATTATGCATGCCAGGATGAATGGTATGGTCTATTACATGTTCAAGTAGAAACTGTATCTGACATACGGACCGCCTCCGTGGTCTAGTGGTAGAGCGTCCGCCCGGAGAGCGAAAAGGCCAGGGCTTCGATCCCCGGCCGCGTCATACCAAAAGTCGTTAAAAGATGGTACTTGTTGTTACCCTGTCTGGCGGTCGACATTAAAGGGCTAAAACAAGGATTGGTCGGCTCGGAGTCAGTATACTGTGTCTGAGTGGGGTATTCATGTTAAACTGCGGCATGGTATCTCAGTGTGCTAGCACTATAAATAGGCATCAGTCCGGACTAGTACAAGCAACCACACACACACACGTGCAATAACCTTGGACGCGACGTTAATCCCCATTTCACCTCACCTGTATCTGACATACAAGTATGAATGGCAGAGAATGTGCACAAAAGTTGGATTCTGGCACAAAACAATTGATTTGAAAAAGACGTTTCTTGACAGAGAGATTTCGTCGCGTTATTATTTCTCTAATAGAGAGACGCACATGTGTGTGGCTGCTTGTACTGGTCCGGACTTGTAAAAACGTTGGGCAGTTAATCTGACTCTGAGCCCACCAGTCCTTGTTTTATCTACGAGCGATGGGCAGCAACAAGTGCCATCTTTTAACGTGTTTTTGGTATAACGAGACCGGGGATCGAACCCCGACCTTCAACACTTAGAAATACTGGGGAGGGGCAAATTTAGGGACGGGTGGGTAGAGAATAACACATTTTATCATAAATGTTTTTCGAATGGACTGGTGTCATATATCAGACCAGACAATGTTAGTGATTGACATCATGAGCATCGATCTACGCAATTGGGATACAATGACATGCATCAACCAAGTCAGCGAGCCTTACCACTCGACCCCGTTAGTAACCTCGTACTCTTTCGCATGTACTAAATTGCGTTATCAGTAGCTCGTTATGGGGGTCGCAAAAATGCTGGGTCATCAAGTTAGATAATGCTTATAGTGAGTGAGTGAGTGAGTATTGTTTTACGTTCAGCAATATGCCAGCAATATCACGGCGGGATACACCATCTTGATCATGATCGTCACTAGATAGCATATGGAAGTTTGGAAAAGAGAGAGCTACGGTAGGTACAGTATGGTCGTTTACATGCAGTATAACGTTTTAGTGAATTTGTGTGTCTAACGAATTGTTGAGAGATTACATCATACATCTGCTTAATGTATGTAAATATCTTTTACTGTAAAAATGTACAGGAGAGAACTACAACACATCATGCGGCCCCGAATCCCCTTCTCCGCCCTTATCTTAATCCATATTGATCCCAATTCCCGCCTAATCAGAAGACGTGGCAGTGAGTGAGTTGGGTTCAACGCTGCTTTTAACAGTATTCCCGTTATAACGCGGCGTGTCAGCTTAATGTGGGAAGAAAGCCCGAAGTGATGCAGGTCTCAGACGTTTACCTCTTCGGTGAAACCCACGAGCACGGGTATGGTGCTGACAAACCTAGAAACATAATTCGGGCGAACCGGGATTCGTAACCACAATCATCGGCTTCTGGAGTGAAAAGGGGACGCAACTCTGCACAGTGAATCGCGGCGCCTTAGACGACTGGGCCACCCGTACCCCTAGACGTGACAGAGATAAAGTGTAGTGAGTTAGTGAGCGAATCGTGATTATCTCCGATTAAACAGTATTTTAGGGATATCATGGTGTGTCAGGTTGGTGTGGGAGGAAAGCCGAGAGCGATGCAAGTCTTAGATGTTCACCGTTTTGGTGAAAGGACGGGCATTGTCCTCAAACAATAGGAACCAGGCTCGGACCCGCGACCATACGTTTCTGGTACGCTTTTAGGGAAAGTAACTCTGACAGGGAATCAAAAGAGGGTGAATGTTGGTTGATGCCGCAGTTAACAGCATCCCAGCTATACCACACTAATCTGAAAGTAATCCAGATTGAACCAGACAAATATATATGGGACCATCCTTTGATATACCTCGGGTGGCCTGTTTTTAATACATTATATTAAACTGAAATAAATTGTCATTAAAAATATGCCCCAATCCACACTGAAAAAACATACACACACACACACAAAAAAAAAATTAAAAATAATAATTTGTTTGATAGGCATTACTTAGAAGTTGACGGATGACAAGATAGACACAATATTTTCATGGATAACAACTTCTTTAATACAGTATTAAAGAAGTTGTTATCCATAAAAATATTGTGTCTATCTAAAAATAAAATGTTATTTCAAACAAAATTCCTACAGACACCGTGATGATTATCATCATATTGTTTTGTTGACTTCTAAGCCATGTTTGTATAAAAAGGTAACAGTAAAGAACACGAGGAAGAGAATAAATTGATGTCAACATATTTATTATGAGGAACACAACGTTTCGGAGTATATGCTTACTCCTTCATCAAGTGAATGAATGCCATGAGGCAGAGAGCATTTATATGTTCATGTAAGGACAACAACATTTATAAGATAACAAAAGGTGGAAAATAACAAAGGGTCCATTGTCTATTGCTAATCACCTATCAAGGCCAATCATCTGTTGGCTTCCTTTGTTAGTTTCTACCCTTTGTTATTTGCCACCTTTTGTTATCTTATTAATTTTGTTGTCCTCACATTAATATCAGTGTCACCCGTCGTAGAGATGATTTTACCATGAATACATTTTAAATAAAATATGCGACCCAATCGATGTGAACAAACACTTAATTGACCACATGATCTACGGTTACCTGCGTGTTGTACATGAAATTGGGGAACTCTTTAGGTATAGGAAAGTCGCTGTAACACATCATCTCCTTGCTGGTGTTGATGACAGTCGACTTCATCACGCACCCCTGATCCTCGCGGACTTTTTCCGTAAAGTTCCATAATCCCCCGAGCTCGTCAGTTCGCTCAAAACAAAACGGCTCCAGCTTTTCGTCAACACAACATTTGATGGCAGTGAGACCGCTACACCCGGCTCCAATGATCGCCACCCGCTTCGCCATTTTGAATCGTTCAAAGGGTATGGCTGGTGCGACAAGCCGCTTGGAATTCCACCTGTCCCACTGTCAACACTGGTTGAGCTTAACCGACATTGATGACCTGTTTCCTCTCTGCGATCTAGCACACAAGGACAGATAACTCCGAGGGCTTCGTTGAGATGACAAATTAGTTTCGCGGTAGAGTGCACGTCCGATTTTCATCACTGAAGCTGTCTGTGTGTTGATACATATTGCGTCTTGTATTTAACGTATTGAGGACACTGCGGATACGTAGTTAATATAAACCTCGTTCTAACTATGACCACTGGACAACGCGAACTTTAAATATTTCTTCTACATGTTAGGGTGACATTTTATGTTTTGTTTGTTTGTTGTATAACGCAGGATATTCCAGCTATATGACAGCGGTCTGTAAATAATCAAGTCTGGACCAGTCGATCCAGTGATTGATAGCACGCACATCGATTCATGCAAATGGTATACGGTGACATGCACCAACAAAGTCAGCGAGCCTGACCACCCTATCCCGTTAGTTGCCTCTTACCACAAGCAAAGTCGCCTCTTACGACAAGCATGGGTTGCTGAAGACCTATTCTATCCCGGATCTTCACCGGTCTTTTGTCATGTACTTCAGAGATGAACTACTGTATTTATGTGACATTATAAAATCGATATCTCACCCGAGAGAAATAGCACTTAATGCTGGGACTGTTTCAGTCAGTAAGGTCTCACCCAAAGTGGAGCCGACTCGTAATTGTCAAAATGTTTTTAAGAGCTTGATGGAAAACACACACGTGAAAGCAACAACTAATAAACTAAGATAAATAAACAAACCGATTGTATTAAGGCGCACTCACAAAGATCAACCTACTGAAAATTTACTTTAGGCAAACGCAACCAAGCTAAAGAATTAAGGATTTAAATACGCAATAAACAGACCCACACAGCGTGAGTAGTGTGTAAGTATGGTTTTATGCCGCTTTTAGCAATATACCAGCAATATCACGGCGGGGGACACAAGAAATGGGCTTCACACATTGTTCCCATGTGGGGAATCGAACCCGGGTCTTCAGCATGACGAGCGAACGCTTTTACTAGGGGTGTTACGATAAATAACAAAATCGACATATTGCAATTGGTAAGCACTTAAAGTCAAAAATCGATTGTTAAATCAGTTTCCGATCAATAGTATCGATTAGAAGACAGTATTTTATGAAATTTACAAATGTTTGATGAAATATGCCACTTCGGTATGTACTTATTTCTCAACAATACATATACCTCGCAATCAAATATGAAATTAAGTTCATGTTCAATGCTAGTAGAATTACACATCCTACAAATTCGGTTAACAGTTATAGCTTCTTTACATCTGATATTACAACGCAACGGCAGTTCATGCAATCTCAACAAACATATATATCTTCTTACTTCCCTGACATGATGTCCCTGATGTTTGTAACATAATAGTACAGTGGACAATGACTAAATAATCGTATGATGTGCAAGTCGATTTGACCTACATGACTTGGACTTGCTGCTGACACTCTGTAATATAATACAGTTCATAGCGGGTTTAAAGGGGCACTGATCTAACGCAATTCCCCGGACTGGTTGTTGCCTTTGTTATTGTTTTTTACCCCGTGAGTACCCGGATGATACGCAACGCAACTGAGCGTGACCAGAGACTGGGCTACCGTCTGCAGGGACAGCTAAATAAACTTGGACGGAGGCTGGAGGGAATATTTGTTTTACGCATTTTTGCATAAACACTGATTGGTTAACTGTGATCTATAAAGATTTCGACAAAGGGCGCATGTTAATTAATTTCTTCAGCCTAAACAAGCAGACAAAGAGAACGGCGGAGCTCATCGGATGTCGTCATTTGAAAATACCCCAGATGGTTATAGTTTAATACTAAAAAAAGTATCCATGCAGTGAAAGCATTTTCGGATTTCGGATTGCGTCGATAATACGATCACTACTCCCTTGTTGACATCCACGTTTTCTCGTATAACCCTACACTTGTGTATTTGTCGTCATTCACTTAATGCTCAGTGAATGAATTTATTACAGGTACAATTAGTGGTAGCACCACTTAGATTACCTGACAAAGGTTCCCATGTGGCATTTATTGTGTCTGGGGGTAATTATTCAATCTAAATCCAGGTTTGAAGTGAGGTGAAATGTGTGTTATGTAATATGCAGGTGGCAGACCAGCAAGAGGTGAATGATCAGTTGATTTACTTTTTTGGTAAATCAACGCATCGCTCCTAGTCATCAAAGGATTAACAGAAAATACGTTGATTGATTAATCACTGTTATCTTGCACAGTGGATATGTCAAAAGTGAGTGTTTACATATCTAGGTTTACTAAAACAAAGGGAATACACTCATATCATGGCGTGAAGTGCCGATGTAAAAACAACATACTTTGTTCAAAGGGTTAACTGATAATAGTTTTTTTTTACGTTGATTGATTGATCATTGTTATCTATTACTCAATGGATTTTTTAGGAACCGTGAAAATAATTGTCAGTGGGCTTTCTCAGCGGACCCTTGAGACTTGACACCTGAAACAATCCACGTGATCAGTTGAGAAAAGAACACGGGTTATAATATCCCGAAACGATATATAACTTTTAAAACATTTGATTGTTACAGAGACACGTGACATCGAATAAGTTTCTTTGTACAGCTGCAGACGAGTGGGATATTGTTCCTTTGTGTGGATATTCACGGATACATTCTTCGAACAAGGAAGCTGCCTAAAATTTATACACATAAATTTGGTAGGTTGTAATTATGGTATTTGCATTTTGTTTTCCTTCATTTGAATCGATTCGTTCTTGTTTCTCTACGTCTTGGTTGGTAAATTCTTCAATGCCCAATAGATGTTGTTTTCACTGGTCTTTTCCTTTGTAAGCGTGTATATATTACCGTCAATTTGTAAAATGTGATTCTCTCAGGCAATTTATAAAATGAGTAAATATTTCAGTCATTTTGACTAAAAAATCTGTCCAGATTGATTAAGACGATCAAAAGGGCCTACACACATCACAACAGATTATTATGTAGGATTAGAAGTTAACAACATAGAAATGTACTTTTCAAGGTAACATTTTCAGTCTCTTGGTGATGACATTACACATCAAATGTTTGGATTTCGTTATCATAATAATACAGATGGAAATGTTATTCAGTCACTTTGTGAAATAACTGAATATTTAGACGTTTGTTACACATTTTGACAGTAAAAAAATATACACACTATAAAAAAAGCAATGCTCAGGTGAAATATTTACTTTGTTTTGCAAGTCAAAATAGTGTAAGCGAAAATCTCAAAATTACCAAGTAAGTGACTTATCAAAACATCGTCACCATTACCGATGCTACCCACAAAGATACCTACATTTCCTTATTATCTCGAAAACTGTGTTTCATTTTGTTGATCAATGTGACCATGCGCCCTTGTTACTACCGGTACCCATAAAAGTGACTAATGCGCTTACGAATGGCGCAGCAGAGGTCGCGAACTAGTCTAGATTTCTGCTACATATCCGGGTACTCACTGGGAAAAAAGGCAACAACCAGTCCCGGGGAATTGCGTTAGATCAGTGCCCCTTTAAACCCACTCACTCACTCACGCTTGTGTCTAGCTGATGCCTAGAACGTGCTAATATTGTAGTGGTTAAATTTGAGCAAATACAAATTAAAACATATATCAAAATTTTGTTTGGTGTACATTTCCATTTTAGATTTTCGTATAAAATATACATGAAATATCTGCAAGCAACTGTTAAGAAAAGAGAAAAAAAAAAGAAGAAGAAGAAGAAAATTGTTTTATTAAAGTGTCACATGCTGCAGTACTAAATATATGGACATATAAACATTTCATTAAAAAACAGCACCCGGCCAGTTGGCCTACGAGACACTAATTACATAATGGTACATTTAAAATATTTAAAAAAAAAAAAAAAAAAAAAAAAAAAAACTACAACAAAATAAAAAATAAAAAAAAAATAAAAAAAAAAAAAAAGAAGAAGAAAAAAAAAGGGAAAATTAGTTGCAACTTTGTATATTACTACACCCACACTCACACCGATACACCCACACACACATCCGCATTAAAATCCCGCTCAAAGCATTCAAACAGGTAAGCATACAGGACGCTCACAGCAATCTCATACAGGACACTCACAGCAGTTTCATACAGAACACTCACAGCAATCTCATTCAGAACACTCACAACAATTTCATACAGAACACTCACAACAATCTCATTCAGAACACTCGCAGCAATCTCATACAAAACACTCACGGCATTCTCATACATGTCATACATTTATACACATATGCGTCCATATACACACAACTTTATACATCAATCGTGTATACTAACCTACATGTATAACTAGCATACATACTAACATACCAACCTACATACATACCTATATCCATCAAACATAAATCAATCCTTATTATACATACACAGGTCCATCCATACCTATGTCCGTTTAAACACACCTCAATCCAAATATACTAACACACATACAACCATACATCCATACCTATATTCATCCATACACATATCGATCCATATATACATACACACATACAACCATACCTATATCCATCCATTCACACCTCAGTCCATATATACATATACATATACACATACAACCATACCTATATCCATCCATTCACACCTCAGTCCATATATACATATACATATACACATACAACCATACAAGTGTCGTACTGAATACAGTATGAACATACATTAAATACAACAGATGATATAAATGAGAGGCACTGTGTACTAACGTACATAAACACACCCGCCTACACACCTACGTGCATATATAAGACAATGCATAACATTATGGATGGGATAAAAAGTAATTAAAAATAAAAGCTAACAGTTTATATAAAGTTTACGGCGCCTGTACATTCTGTAGACAAGGGAGGCTAGGGATTTACTTATACATGTAGTATTCATTAGATAGCAGGTCTGTTGCAGTAGAGAAAAGGTCGGGAAGGAGGGCTCCAAGGAGGCAATATAATTCCATAAATCATATCTTAGATCAGAATAAAAGTTACATTCA